GGACCTTTACTTATATCTTCATTTTGTCAGTAAGGTAAGTTAGATCTAGAGAGAAAGTGTGATTTTGTTTAAGATGCGATATAAATGATGTCCAGGTCTCCTGTCTTTTAGTAAACTATTCAAGGAATTCTGCTTATTCTGGTCTCACACCAAGGTATTTGGGTAAAATCTGAAACTCCACCTGTTTTTGCTGCTGCAGTCTCGGGCATTTGTGACTTGCTAACCCCTTATCTAGTCCTCTTAGAAGATAATCTTTTTATGAACCAAGTGCTTTAATTTTAACACACATACACACAGATTAATTCTGATGAATATTCCCATTTAATCCTAATAGCACTTTAATGTAGTTCTTATCCTCTATTTATAGGTAAGAAAGCTGATGCTTAGAAAATTAGGTAACTTAACAAACTTAGTTTCATGCTCTTTGACTCTTTCATGTTGCTTATTTATTTGGGAGAATTTTACTGTCCCCAGCTAAAATCTCAAAATGTACATCACTATGAAAGAGCAAATAAATAATACCCTCCCCAAATCCAAATATTTCCCCCTCAAAAAAAAAAGCTTAAAAAGAAAAAAAAAAAGCATTAAGACTCTCAAGCCAGTTCTAAACATAATGGAAAAGACTAGGAACAGATACAAAGCAATACCATTTTCTTCTATACAAATGTGTCCACTGCTTTTCACAGGTACTGGATTCTAACATATAGGAGATGAAAAACTTTTGAAGAATGTGTCAGAAGATTAAATCACTGCAAATGCAACTTAGGAAATATCTCTTGTTTTTTTGGGTCACTTTGTATGATTAAGAGTGTCTTTATACATTTTAGTTATGACATGTCCCAGAAAATGGGACGTGATTTTGCTTTTGCAGATGGCATCCAGAGGAGCCATTTTGTGTGATTCAGTAGAATTTTAAGTCTTTGTTTAGTATCTATCAGCAAGTTGAGCTTGATTGAGGCTTTGAATCTTAACACTTCTAACACACTTTCTTAAATTAACTACCGTTTTTCTCTGCACTGCTTTGCCCTACCCCCTTATCAGGCTACATGACCTCAGAGTGTTTTATAAAACTATAAGAGGAGTAAAATTCAGATAGAATTCATAAAATGAACACTATCAAGGCTAGTGCTTGATGTACATAGGATTTCTCAAGGCTATGACATAGAGACTCCCAGTCTCCTATGACTGCCTATTCTTGAGTTCTTCTTTACAGTGACTAAAATCACCCGTAACTATAGATGTGTCCTTTTCTAAGAGTCTTCACATTTTAAAACAAGCAAAGCCTTAATTAAACCAGAGGACTGGAGCTCTACTGTGTCAAAGATCTAGGACCTAGTCCAGGTAATTCTGGGGCGTAATTACTATGATTCTTGGACAGGTTGCTTCACCTTCCTGGAGTTGGTTTCTTCATCTATATATGAGAAGGCTAATTGTATAAAATCTGAAACTCCTTCCAGTACCAACATGTCTTTGATATCTTGACCATTGTGCACGGAACTGTGTCAGTGTGAGGCTCTTCCTCCTTTGTTGATGGAGACCACAGACCCTGTAGGAAGCATGTGGAGAGAACTTTGATGTCAAATCCAGGCTCTTCCCCGTCCATTCTATATAACTTTAGGCAAGTCATATTCCACACAGTATCAGTATTCCTAAATGCAATGTTTTGTTTTTTTGTTGTTTTTTGTTTTTGTTTTCTTTGTGAATAATGAAGGAAAGTGTTTGACATTAAACTCTACAAATGTAAGTGATGGCCATTGTTAGAATGGCACCTAGGGGACAAGAACTCAGTAACTGAGAGCCTCCTCTCACTTTGAGAGGACTGGGAATGAAAGAAACCATTTTCGTACATGCTATCCACCTGGCTTGTGTGTGGTCCTGTTGTCTCACTCTAGTTTTTTTGTCTGCTATTACTCTGTTTTCTGTTTTTCCTTCCATACTTACAATATTTGAATATTCCTAAGCAGCAGTGACCATGCACATTATCTACGTGAACTGCCTTTTTCTTTGAGGTTTGGTCTTAAAATCAGCCTCCCTAAATTTGGCAACTTACTCAGTGCCCACTCAATTCCATCTCACCACACAATTTATGTATGTATCCTTGCATCTTCCTTTATTTATTTATTTTTTTTTTAACTTCTTGGACCTCATAGTTTTGTTTTGTTTTGTTTTTTAATTAATTTATTTATACAAGCACTGGGTACAGTCAGAAGTGCGGGAGAGTGAGAGGATTCACCAGAGCCAGAGCGGGGAACAGACCATGCAGACCGACGAAGTACACTGCTGAGGGGAGCAGGGGGGCAGCGGGCAGCAGGAGAGGTCTGCGTGCCATGTGGGACCCTCGCTGGCGGCCAGGGATCAAACTGGTGCTGCAGAGGCTGCGGGCAGCTTCGTAACCCAGAGCTTAACCGCTGCGCCACCAGGGGAGGCCCCCCATGCATCCTTTAAAAAAAAAACCTTTTCACGTGCTTTTTGCTAAAATGCTAATAAAACAATTAGATTTTTGTTGAAGTACCTTACTTTTTCCAGCTCATGCCCTATCTCCTCATTTTCCTGCTGAAGCCAAAAGGCAGAGATAAGAGGACTGAGAACTGGGGGCACTGAGATTTAATAAGACATCTTCCCTGCCTTCAGCCATGTGACGAGGGCTGTAAAACAAGTGACCACCTAGTGCTCCAGAAGATTCTTAATGTGGCAGGAAAAAAGGAGTAGATTTAGAGGAGCTGATAGTTAAGTAACCAATACAAAAAGACAGGGGAAGTTTCTCCATTTTTACAGTTGAGGAGGTAATGTCAGGAGTATAAAGAACAACCAGACACTAGAAAGGTCCGGTTTAATTTCTGGAAGAATGCTGGTCTAAGGTTTTGTGGTCAGAAATGCTATATGGAGGATAAACAAGTAATTTTGGGTTTTTAGTTTGTTCTTTTGCTTTTTAAGATTTCAAATATATTTGTACTAAAGGTAGGAAAAAAGCAAATAACTATGTATTTTAATTAAAAGATGATTTTGGGGGAGAATAAAACAAAAACTACTAATTAATGAAAAATTAGACTTTGGGGAAAACTATCTTATTTTTGTCAGCAAGCTGAAAATTGTCAAAGATGTTTCTAACATAATAAAATGTGAGATACAGAACAAGATTCATGCTGATGTGATTACACTTGTATACCTGGTTAGTACCCTGATTTTTCCCCCTGCTGTTGAGATACTTCTTTCTTCTTTCCATTCTCCATTATAAATCAGGTATAAACGAGAAATGTAACATATTGTCATTTAATTAAAAGATATCTGAATAAGATGTCATATATTAACAAGATGGTAAATGGTTTTCATCAATAAGAATGTCTTTTTCTGTAGTGTGTTAGTTGCACCAAAGCAAATTATCTTGTCAAGTCACTGAAAAACCATTTTGCTTCATCATTTTACTTATATGTAACATTAAATAGAGATGACCAGAAATTTGGTCCATATGCCTCAAAAAATATTATTAGTCATTGTTTTTTATCTTTTTAAAAAAAGATTTGTTTATGCATACAAGAACTGGGGTACAGGCCATTATCTTGATTCCTGATGGCCTATAAGAATATAGATTTATTAACATGTTATAGACAAATGCTTGAACTTTTTGCTTCTTTTTTGCAAAATTTTAATTTTAGCTTTATCTTAATGGCATTTCATTTCTGTAATAGAAAAAACATTGTTGCTAGGCTTTGAACTGGGCAAATTATAGAATTTATGTAACCTCAGTCTCCTTGAGAATAAAAGGAGATATGAGCTCTTAATTTTCCTTGTCCTATAAGAGCCTATGACTCATTATTTTGTTTCAAATTATATGCTGTCATTAATAGGTTAAAGGTAAATTGATAGTTGTTGACAGGTCAAGGCTAAAGGAATTGTTTGGGAAGGGATTTTAATGTATGCATGTTTTCATACATTTAAGTTATTGGGTGTAACAAATCTGGTGGCTTCTGATGTCCTTTTATTTCTGAGCCACAAGTCATCATAAATAATCCATCTTCAGGCTTAAGTGAATTGTGTGAGATTTCACCACAGATCAGTGAGTATCAGCATATCACAGACTCAGTTGGCAGACAATAAATGATTGTTAAAGTTAACTTAGGTGTGGTTTAATGGGGTCTCTTAGTGAGTTATAAACAGTTTTTAAATGTAAGTCAAAAGCACAGAGATTCAGAACTAAGCCCAGGAAAGAATATGAATACATAGACTTACATGAAAAAATTATGTCGATGGCAGCTTTATTTTCAATAGCTAAAATTAGAAACAACCAGATGTCTGTCAACTGGTGAATGAATCCACAAAATGTTCTTCATTCACATAATGGATCACTTCTCAGCATAACACAACAGTCTACTGATGAATGTGACAACATGGTAGAATCTCAAAAGCATTGTGTTAAATGAAGGAAACCAGACAGAAAAGACTACATAGTGTATGGTTCCATTTATAGAACATTGTCGAAAAGGTAAAGCTGTAGAGACAGAAAACAGATCATTGTTTCCAGCATCTGGGAGTGAGAAGAAGGCTTTGACTAGAGGGAGCATAAGGGTTCTTTTGGGAATATAAAAATTTCCTAAATCATTATTTTATTGGTGGTTAAATGAATGTGTACATTTGTCAAAACTCATCAAAGTTTGTACTTAAAACTGATGACAGTTATTCAGTGTAAACCTGAAATTTGAAAACAAACAAATTGTGTACTTAAAACTGGTAACAATTACTCAGTGTAAACCTGAAATTCGAAAACAAACTTAGGGTAGCATCTTGAATGTTTTACAAAGTAATCATTTCAATTGGAGAAATAATTATTTTTAAACTTGAAACTTTTAAAGCTTAATTTCAGTAAGATACTAAAATTCACTTTTGTGATGGATCCATACAAAACTTTAACCCTCTAAAATGTTTGCATAGAAAACAGTAAAAGATGACCTTGCTCAAAATCTCATTCTGTTTTTGCTTTCTCTCTACTTCTCTGCCCAACCTAGAAAAACTAATTGAGGGCCTCAAATCTCCTGACACTTCTCTTCTGCTCCCTGAACTCTTGCCCATGACAGATCCTTTTGGTAGCACTTCTGATCCTGTAATTGGTAAAGTCATCATCTCTGTTTCTTCGGTCATGCATGATACGTGTGTCTTTTTCAAGAATAACTGATTAGAGCTTCCTAGTGAATCGCCCTGGCGAGGATTAGAAATGCCTTGAACTCATGCCTCCTGGTGTTGGAGGTTTGTGCTCACCCAGAAGCCAAGGCTATTTAATCTCACTTGTTATCACCTCAAACAAAGTATTTTCCATCTAGAGGCATAATATTTTTGCCTTTCCTGAATTTGTAATGAATGAAGAGGAATGTGGAAATTTTCACATTTGATTACAAAAGCTTTATGAAGAAAGTTGGCTTAGAACTTTAATAGATTCTTCTTTAGAAGACCACTGTATGTACAAGTATTAATAACAGAAAATACTTGCCCAGTGGTGAAGCCCCACGAGCAGGGTCTAGGATAGGGCCTTGATCGGCTCACTCTGCTATTTTCCTATGCTCCACCTGCAAGGCAGTCAAGACCTACAAAATATCCAGGGAAACAGGACTCCAGCTCCGATGTCTTGCAGTGCAAAGTACCTCCCAACTGCATTGTGGGATGGTGTTTGAGATGGAGTAGTGGTCTTTGCAAAACCATTGAATGTTTACCCCCAAGTTTATCCCTTAGAAAACCAAAATTACCAGAAGATTCTAAAGTGGTTTTCAGCCTGTGTCTTCTGACATGGAAGAGATCTGTTGGGTGGCTCACATTCTGCATTTATCTATACAAACTGAGAATCACTGAGACTAGCCCCAGGTGGTTAACCTTGCATGTGAATGCTCAGTCAGTGAAGACCAGATACTTAAAGCAGCAGAAACAAAGTAACTGTACTTTCTTTCTCACTGACATTGACATTTTAGAAGCTTATAGAGAGGAAAGCCTTTACAGGATTGTTTAAGGGACTGTCTGACTCCCTTTCCCTCACACTTTGCTCTCCTTTCTTAATGCCTTTACAAAAGAAAAAGCTGATGTTGCTGTTGAGAGTCTCATACCAGGACTGGAGCCCCCGGTGCCCCAGCGCCTCCCTTCTCAGATGGAATCTGTGACCTCGAACCGAACAGGTCAGTCAGGTGTCTCTGTAGCTGCATGGACCTGTCAAGTGTGCTGAGCCCTCACAGCCCATCTCTCCACCTATAGCAGATGAACCTGGGCTTACTTTGCAGCCAGCTTTAGTTCCTCCTAGAATGGATGGTCTGTATTGTTACAGCCCCATCCTCTAGATTTTGAGTAATATATTTCTTCACCAACATACTTGTAATCACCAAAGTATGCAGAGTACTTTTTGGAGCCATGTTTTTTAATAGAGATTCCTGGGTTTTCTCTGATTATAGTACTTCTTTATTTAAGATTCTTTCCATTGGTGACAGATTCCTTCCATTTCCCTAAGTAAAGAGCTCTGCTGAGCCATAAGCATGCCCTTAAACTCCTTCAGGTTCCTGAGCAGTCTTTTCTAATAGTGTCATGTCATGTAGCTCAGGTTTTGTATGTTGACATTCAATTCCCCTCACAGTGTTTTTGCTATATGTAGGTGATTTGATGTTAAATTGTTGGCAGGTTGAAATCTTCCCTGGATTCAGTATTACTTTCACCCTATTTTCTAAGTTCACTCTTAGTAGAATTCTCTAAGTGTGGTTTTGATAACCTTCATTTTAATTAGGGCCATAATTTCCTTGATAAAACTATCTGAATTCCTAACTTGAAACAGAAACAATAAGAAGTCTAGGAAGTATGCAAACCCTTCTAGGTTAAAAAGAGAAACTAATATGGAAAATAGCTCTAGAAAGTACTGTTTAATTATGTCATGTTCTGCTAATAAGCCAGAGAAAACCCTTGCCAACTTGGACATCTCATCCTATAGTAACTTTTTTTCCATGAATGTTTAGGGAAAGTATAAATGACATTGACTAAGAACTGAGTTGTTGAAGGTATATTGGCATCCAGATCACAAACCAACAACCTCTGAGCAAAAATCCTTCCATATTTATATATTAATGTACAAAAAATTTGAAAAGATGTTTCTATAGATGGAAGTCCAGAATGCTTAATATGTTTCCTTTGGTTTTCCTTCTCCCACTTTGGCTTGTATGTGTAACACATAAATGCAGTAACTTAAAGGCTAACATCTACTCTCATGATATTGTTGTGTGTACCATTTAATGCCATCACTGACCTGGATGCTGTTAATCTGGACTCAGATTCTCTCACTGGGGAAGATTCCCTCATTGATTGCTCTCTGCTTTCTAACCCTACCACTGATCTTCTGGAAGAATTTGCCCCCATAGCGATCTCTGCTCCGGCCCATAAAGGTAAATGTTTTTCTCTTCTCAGACCCACATATATCCTCAGAGGAAAAGAATTGAACAATTCCCAAGAATTTCTCTCACCAAGAGTGTTTGCTAAGTGAAGATTTTTAACCACCTATTATGTGGGAAACTTGTTTGTACTCTTAGCCACTGTCTTGCAATCCCTATCTGTAAAAATTTTTAATAATGCTGAGACAACAGTCAGGTAGAGGTCTTGCTTTCTGGCAATCACCTGGACTACAGATATTCCTTGTTATCTATTAAAAGCAGAGCTAATTGCCTTTGCAGTCAGTTCAAGTAGATGTTGCAAGTTAACAATACACTAACCTATTATTAATACATAATACTTGCTGGCCTAAGAACTTAAATTGTTTATCAAGTCTGGTTTAAAGTTTTTGAATAATGATTTCTACAATAAAGAAATGGACATTATTCCTCAAAAGTCAATCTTCGAAGACTGAACTTACAAAAGTTTTGGATTTTAGTTAACCTTTAAGTTACGATTATTGAATTTACCATTTTCATTTCTTAGTCTTGAATTAATATTGGTTTGAAATTCTGCTGGTCAGAGTTAGCTTGAATTAAGTTCTATCAGTGAGTAGTTGGTGAAAGTGATAGGCACAATGCCTCACTTACTATATACAGGCAATCATTATTCTTAGCTTGGGTGGTAAATGTGGTTTTCTAGAAGAAGCAAACATGTGTGGGGGGGGGATAAAGCTTAGTCCTTAAAAGGAAATTCAAGAAGGAAGTCTCCCCAAGATCACTAAAAATAATTAGCCTCTGGTTTGCAATGATAATAGCTGAGTTTTTGTTTTTACCCCTGATAGCATTGAAATAATTACCTTTTTATAGAGTGTGTAGAGAGAAATTATCTGTTTAACCAATTACGTCTGGCAGAACCATGTCAGCAGCAATGTGTAATTACAGAGAATCTTCTTGTGCAAAATAAGTGCTCAGCTAGCATGTACTTGTAGAATAGCTTTAATTAGAATTAAGATTTCTAACAAACTTCTGCTTGAAATCTCAGTGCATATAATCTTGTGCTCCCGTAGTCCCTAAGACATCAGAGTTGTTCAGTCTTTTTTCCCCAATCACTGGATAGCAAGTCCTTTCAGAAGTGAGTTTTGTTTGTATTATATATAGTGAGTGCTTCTTAAAAAGCAACTAATTACTTCCCACTACCTCCCATCACTTTCTGAGGTTTTTTGACTATTATTAATCAGCCGGTTGTTTATTCAATGAGCAGATAAATGACTAAAGAAGAGATACCTCACAGTAATTACAATTAACGGTCTTATACAAAGAGTTCTTCCTATAACCCTTCTTCCTAATCATTTATGAAAATCTTAACATGCCAGCTCTAAAAGCATTGTTTTCTATCTCACTAAGTTTTCCAGTTTTGCTTTTATTTCAACTCAAGAAAATGAACATCGTCACCTTTAAAAACAATAGTAATTGTACAGTTAGGATCTTTGTGTCTCTTACAAATTCTCTCATTTGCTAATTTCTGCCTCTGTTATTTCTGCTTGTGTGCTTGCGTTCTGAATTAAGCTGCAGAAGATAGTAATCTCATCTCAGGTTTTGATGTCCCTGAGGGCTCGGACAAGGTGGCAGAAGATGAGTTTGACCCTATTCCTGTATTGATAACCAAAAACCCACAAGGTAAGAAAGAGAGGATGAAGAAAAGAGAAGGGCTTGGTCATATCTCTTCAAAATAGTTAATGTAACTAATCTACAAGGGGAGGGGAGGAAGCATTACATTTAATGAAAGAAATTGGGGGTAATGACAACCACTGTCAACTAAACCAGCAGATATAGATAGATAGAGCTAGATATACTGGTATAGGTGTCTTAAAACTTGCACATGGTATTTATTTAGAAAGAAAAAAAATATTTAATAGTTTGACTTCAAGCTGGTTTTTACAAAGTATCAAGTAAAAATAGTGATTTTCAGTCAATTGAACCTGAAGGCAAAGGTTTTTAAACAGCACTGAATATTTTTTAAATCATGATTAGAACAACCTGTAATAAATATTTTTCCCAAAGAGATTAATGTGTTTTGAGTACATTTGCATCTTTTGGACATTTGTGGAACATCCTTTTTTCTCTTTGATGGATTAAAAATCCCTTGAACTTGCCATAAAACACTGAATTTCCATAGGACCATCTATCTACTTATATTTTAGAACACATTTTTATGGTAATGGTCTTACTGATTTTTCCCCAAAGGAAAAAAAATGCTGGTTTTTTTCTAATCAAGGAGGTCACTCAGTGTTGTCAGGAAGCTAGTATACAGTTAGCAATTCTCAGATGAAACATATTCCTCTTTGCAAGCTGTCCTGCCTATTGTACAGTGTGCACACAGTGCCTAAACTTGTGGGAGGTGGTGGATGTAAATATTTAAAAATCAACATGTAAAGAGTTTGCAAATGTAAATTGTTGCTTCTCTAAGGGTTTGTTTTGTTTTGTTTTTTCTCCTTTGCTTGCTCTGCACATCTGAACCTTAACCCTCTGTGTTTTGTACTGAATTCCTATCTCTCCACTTCCAGGTGGGCACTCTAGAAACAGCAGTGGGAGCTCTGAGTCCAGTCTTCCCAACCTAGCCAGGTCTTTACTGCTGGTGGATCAGCTCATAGACCTGTAGCCGTGACCCAGTAGCAGATGCAGTTCTGTAACCTTCATACCGTAATATACATTTTCATTACGGAGTTATAAGAAAAAATGATTTTTAAAGAAAATCTGCAAATAAAGGGCCCTCTGGCCCTTACCTCCTACCCTTTGCCTTCTCCTCTAGAAATGATAAAGAAAGAAAATTACTTTGACCCTCCAGATATTCCTTGGCCAGTCCTTCCCTGTTAGTTTGCTGTGTTTTCTCATTATCATTCTTCAATAGCATTATCTTAAATCAAGCGCTAGATGCCATGAGCTTTAACCTCTGCTGGAATCAACTCCACCAAAAGCTTAACTGTAACTGAAACTAGTGAATTGACACCTTTGTCTCATTCTTGTTAGGAATGACCTCCCAAATCAATCCTCCCAACTCCTGTCTCCTTTGGCCAGATGCTGATGAATGTGTTTCTCTGTTTTTGCTTTTTATCCTGTTGCATTGTCATAAGGACTTGGCTTCTTCGGTTGGTCTTAACTCTAGGCAGTAGCCTGGAGATGTGTGTGTGGTTTAAGAGAGGATAAAACTTACTGATGGTATTTGTTTGAAAAGAGAAATGAGTCCAGCTCTAGCCAACCAACTTTGACCTTGTTTGATCATAGACTTAGCCAAGGGATTTTACACCCCATGCAACCTGCCCAGCATTCGTCCAGCATTCTGGCTTCCATTGAACCGTGATTTCTCAGATCTGGAGACATGACTGCAAGTACTTGAGATCCTTGGATAAAATGTGTACATTATATAAATCCCAAATATTGCCATTCCTTTTCATGTTAACTATCCCAGGCTGGGATCTCAGAATTAGACCAAAATAAGACAATGGTGGTAAAACGATACCTTTTATTAGAAGACTTTTCATTGGGGGGGTGGGGGAGGGTTGAAGGGGGAAGGGAAGGAATTGTAGCAGAAACAGATGTATTTTTCTTGTGATTTTTATTTTGAATCGAAAATTGTAAATTGTGTATAAATGAAGACGCTAAATAGTTCTGTTTCCACTTGGCATTTCAAGTCTGATATCAGGTGTCTGTACAGGGTTTTGATCTCTTTCCCTTGTATAACTACACAGCTATCCTACAGTGTAACATATGGAACCATTTTGAGTAGACTTACGTGTTGCTATAAGCTTTCAACAGGTCCTCTGTCTTTGTAGAATAAGCATGTTGTTTATTTTCAGATAATCGAAAATAAGTGTGCTGACAAGCTAGGCACAATTTGACTGTGGCCACTTACCTTTCTTCCTCTCTGATGTTTGAATTGAAGGCTGCAACAAATGAAATATGTTCAGTTGGTTTTCCTTTGCTTTCTAGATTAAGAAAACAGAACAAAACAAAGCATAGTCCCTCATTAACTTTAGAATATTGTTCATAAAATAAATAAAGGACCCTGCACTGATATGACAACATGCCTCATGGTCACCCTCTGTATATGTGCTTGCTTACTGAAGTGTAATATTTTCCTTACATGGAAAGCAATTTTATAAAATCACCCTTCTGAAGAGATGGGCACAGAGGAGCCCCATTGTGGTTCTCTTCCTTGAGTGCCATTTTCCATGGTCAGAGGGAAACTCTTAGTTGATTGGATTTGTACAAATAAAATTCCAAGTCCACGTGCTTGTTTTTCTATCTAGCACTTTTGTTTCTTCTTCCTCACATGTGCACTTTAAAAGGGCGGGGCGGTGGGGGGGGGGAATTTAACCTCAACAACAACCTGCAAAGCACTGCACTTTGAGGGTCAAACTTTGACCCCAGCGATGTAAGAGCAGCCTTTGAAGCACATCAGAGGAAAAGTCTGGATCTTTCAGTCTTCCTTCTGACTTTAATACTTCTCATGCCAGCTGAAACCAGTTGAGCTAAGTAAAGGCTTCTATTAGGATAATGGATCATTTTCGAAAGTGAGGGAGGTATAACCTTCCTGCTGAGGAAAAAAAAAAAAAGATACCCGTGAAGAGCTCTTCGTGATTGGATAGCAGTGGAATTGAAACTTGGTTTGCCCCTTTATGGACAGGAAACTTACTAAAGATCAGACTTGTATTCTTTTTCCTGGACATAGAATATATATAAACTGATGAAGGAAATATTTATTTTTAAATAAGAATAATGTTTTGTGACTATGTTTTCCAATTTGATTTTTTCATAATACATGTTAGAAATATAATGGAATACCTAGTTGCTCTATTTAATTAAAACCATGAAGAAGACAGTTCAGAAATTAGGTGTCTGTAAGTTGTTCCTTTCATAATTATCCACAGTTACATTAAGATATATTATCTAGTCATCTGGCTCAATGAAGTTTAATGGAGACTTAATGAAAATGAACAGACTAGAAGCTAGAGACTTGATGAAGGAAGCCTGAGAGAAATAATGACATAAAATTATCTTGAGCTTATTCTTTAAGGATAGGTCCTTAAAGGGGAACACTATTTTTCTGTTAAAGGTTACATGTGAGTGACTGGGTTAAAGGGTCTTCCTTTATCTATAGCATAGATAAAGGGTTTTCTTAAGATGAGCATAGTGTGTTGATAATTGATAGATTTATAAAACTGTAGATTGAGCTATAAGAGGGACCTTAAAGACTGTCCTCTAGTCCATCCACTTCATTTTACAGGTGTTCAGCCTGCAGCAGGGTAGTGGGAGAAGAGGCATGGGCAAGACAGGCCACCTGGGATCTCATCACTGAAGGTCACTAGTTAAGTCACTTCAGCAGGTCACTTCTTAGGTGACCTTAACAAGTGACCTTCACTTCTCAGATCTGCGGTTCCTTATTTATACAATACAGGTGTTTGGACTAGATGGTCTTTAAGATTATGGAATTCTAGGGTTCTAAGGATATATTATTATGCTTTGGAAGGACTATGAAGGATTTATATAATCCTGATGTTCTTTAGTTATTTTCTAATAGTTCTTACTATTACTGTAACAGTATTTACATTTTAGAGAATTATAGTGGGCTTTGACTAAACTGAGTTGCTTTTTCTTGGTTATTTGGATAGAAGTCTAAATCTTCACAGAATTTTAGACATAGATTTTCCTTTATTTTTAATATTACACACACATACACACATTTATTAACCATATCGGCAGACTTCAGATACAGAGGAATTCTTTTAAGATGTATATTCAATGATCTGCCATTTTAAATATGGGCAATTACTGTTTGCAGGTTTCTGATTTGCTTTTATTCTAAGTGTGCAAGAAAACTCTACCAGAAAACAACACAAATTGCTATACTCCCCCAACACACAGCATTCAAATAACTAGATCACCAAATTCAACTCCCCATGTTTTTCAAAACACAGAGGATGTAAGGTTTAAATGTACTCTTCTAAATATGATTATAAATAGTAATTTCTTTAGCAGACTTATCAGAATTTTGATATCTAATTGAATGCTGTTCCCTTCACAGGCATCTGGTTTTACTTAGGAAGCTAATACTTTTTCTAGTGATGCTTCATTATTTAAGTTATTTTCAGAACTCCTCTCCTTAGAACTAACATTAAGGAAGATGATAGAATATAAGGAAATCAATTGTATTATTACCCAATTAGTATTGCATCTGAAAGCGTATTCTCTTCCTTTACCTACTTTTTCCACCACTCTTGGTTCTGAGTAATATTTAACTGTTTCCAAAAAGCAAAATCACCCATTAAGATGAAGGTGGTTACTATTGAGGATAGCAAAAAGGATAATCCACAGAAAATTCCATGAGAGGGCCGTATAATGAAAATGATAATGGTCAGTTTTAATTTTCTTAATAGTCTAAATAAGGAAACGCCTGTGGTTTTCTGTGTCTTCAGTATGGTTTAAGACATTGAAAGATATGAGTTTTAAAATACCCCCCAAAAAGGTTGTCATATGTTCAGTGCCAATATTAGACTTGGCTCTTCCTGAAATAGAATTATAGGACTGGGATTGCTAAGTTAGAGGGGAACAGATCCAAGAAAAAATCTTTTTTTCCTCACAATGAAATATTAATTTTGTTTTAATACTTTTTTCCTACT